GGATCTTTTCCTTGATTGAATCCTGTGGGGCAAGGAGCATCTATAGTCAGCAAGCCTTGTTACAAATTGGACTGAAATGTGAAAAGGCTATTATGGATGATTTTATACATTCTCATAATATATCGAAGGAGGCAGCTAGGCCTCTGCGGGAGCCATGGATCACTATCCCTGTAGGAAGGAGGAAGAGGCGGAGAAAGAAGAACAGGAAGAGGAAGAGAGGATGCCATGCTGGGGTTTTCTTTAGGCTGAATAAGTTTCCACACAAGCCTTCAATTCCAAGTATATTTCTTACCAATGCAAGATCTCTGACTACAAAATGGATGAATTAAGGCTACAGATTGCAAAGACTAAATTAATCAAGAACTGCTGAGTTTTGCTAATCACAGAAACTTGGCTTCATTCACTCATTCCAGATGCAGCTGTTGAGCTGGAAGGCTACATAGCTCACGGGCAGGACAGGAGTAGAGATTCTGGCAAGATCAAAGGGGGAGGTTTAAGCCTTTATGTGAACAAAATCTGGTGTATCAATACAAAGACTGTAGACAGCCACTGCTCCATGGATCTGGAGTATATGACACTTAAATGTAGACCCATATATATTCCACGGGAATTTAGCATGGTTTTGATTACTGCAGTCTATATCCCACCTGATGCCAATATTACCATAGCTTTGGGATTCTTGTATAACATTGTATCCTAATGCTGTGCATATCATAGCAGGGGACTTTAATCAAGCTGATTTAATTGAAGTGCTCCCTAAATTCTATCAGCATGTTAAGTGTGCTACTAGAGGAGCAAACATATTGGACAAAGTATATACCAACATTAAACATGGCTATAAGGTTATAACAATTACCACATTTGGGACAATCAGACCATATGTCACTGTTTTTAGCACCAGCTTACATCCCTCTTAGGAGATGGGCTCTGCCTATAATAAAGACAGTGAAATCTTGGCCAGAAGATGCTTCCCAACAACTTCAGGATTGTTTTGAGAACACAAATTGGGACATCTTTTACCACCCTGACCTAGAGGTGCACACTGCAACTGTTCTGTGCTATATCAAACACTGCAGAGATACTATCACTGTGGATAAACATATTAGGATCTATCCCAATCAGAAACCCTGGATAACCAAGGAAGTCCAGCGCCTTGCATGACAGGACCAAGGTCTTTAGGTCCAGTGATGGGGCAAGATACAGTGTTGCCAGAGCTAATCTGAAGAAAAGTATTTGGAAAGCCAAGACTGATTATAAGAGGAAGATTGAGGATAATTTTTATAGCAATAACATGAGGCAGGTGTGGTGAGGGATTCAACAAATTACAAACCATCAACCAACCAATGTCATCCCTGCTGAGGGGAATTCATTGGTAGAGGAACTGAATCATTTCTTTGCTTGCTTTGAAGTGGAGACATCAGAGACAGATAAAACACAATTACCAGCCAATTGTAGCCCCCACCTCATTATGGAGGAACAGGAGCTGAGGAGCATTCTGAGGGCTGTGGACCCTAGAAAGGCTGCTGGTCCTAACGGTATCTCTGGCCGAGTGCTTAAAGACTGTGCTTATCAGTTGGCTGGAGTCTTTACCAGGATCTTCAATCGGTCTTTATCCCAGTCCACTATTCCATCTTGTCTGAAGGTTTCCACCATTGTTCCGCTGCCAAAGAAGTTCCCTATCAATAACTTCAATGATTACAGACCAGTGGCACTCACTCCTATCATCATGAAGTGCTTTGAGAAATTGGTCTGCCGGCACATCATTTCTGGTCTTCCATATACATTTGATAAACACCAGTTTGCATACAGAAAAAATAGATCTACAGAGGATGCTATAGCCATCACTCTTCACACTGCTCTGACTCATCTAGAACAGCGGAAGGGCTATGTGAGGATGCTTTTTGTGGATTTTAGTTCTGCATTTAACACAGTTCTTCCACATAGACTAGTGTCTAAACTTCTGGACCTTGGGCTTTTTAATTCAATATGCCTTTGGATTATGGATTTGCTGTCTGGCCGCTCACAGAGGGTCAGATTAGGTAATCATACCTCTTCAGCCCTTATTCTTAACACTGGTACACCACAGGGTTGCGTGTTGAGTCCCTTACTCTATACTCTTTATGTGCATGACTGCATTCCCACTCACGTTAATAATACTATTGCTAAATTTGCAGATGATACAACAGTGGTGGGACTTATCTCTGGGGTGGGAGATGAGTCTGCCTACTGAGATGAGGTGGACTGGTTGCTTTCATGGTGTGGAGACAATAACTTGGTCCTCAACACCAAAAAGACCAAGGAGCTTATAGTGGACTATAGAAGGAACAGATCAAGACATCCAACCCTTGCTTATCAATGGAGACCGAGTGGAGCAAGTGGCCAGTTTTAAGTTTCTGGGTGTTACCAGAAAAGAGGACCTGACCTGGGGTGCCCACATTGCAGCACTGGTCAAAAGAGCCCAGCAGAGATTATATTACCTGAGACTTCTCAGAAAACAACAACTGAATGAGAAACTGCTGGTGACCTTCTACTGCTGCACCATAGAGAAGTATCTTAACTTACTGCACCTCTGTATGGTTTGCCAATTGCACAGTGGCAGATAGGACAGCGCTCCAGAGGGTTAACATCATTGCCTAGAGGATCATTGGTTGCCATCTCCCCTCTTTGGAAGAGTTTTATAGCTCCTGCTGCCTTAAGAAAGTTCAAGACATTCTCAAAGATCCATCTCATCCTGGGAAGTCTTTTTTTGAACTATTACCATCTGGCAGACGGTACAGAATAATAAAAACAAGGACAAATAGGCTGAAAAACAGCTTCTATCCCAGGGCAGTAGCTCTTTTGAATTCTGCTGTATAGTGCAGTGTTGGTGCAGTGTCAGGGGTTTTCAATTCAATGTGTGAAGGGTGAAGGATGTGTGTTTGTGTTTATTTTCATGGTCATGTTCATGATGTGCACTGAAGATGGTGTTTGACTTCTTTGTACAAGGTGCAATGACAATAAAGTACACTAAACTAAAAAGGGCAGCCAGCCAATGCCTCAACTCCTCCTTGTCCATCCTTCAGCAACATTTATTATCCCAGGTTGAGAGGAAAAAATAGCAATGGTCACAGAGCGAGGAATCAGTACAGTTATTTTTTATTATACAAATGGGATGGCTATAAGCTTAATGGTGCCTTGCCCTCTGATGGGGGAGGACAAGCCCAACAGCTGAGTTTCTACCTATGAAAAAGTCCTTCCTATTGGTCATCTCAGTTTCCAGCCCTTTGATTCCTCATCATGGCAATGGGAGATATGTCAATTTAAAGTCAGTGCTTCCATATGTGGAAGCATGCCTTATAAGTGATTTCTGAGGCTGTAGATAGCTATGTCTAACTTTCTTCTAAGCCTTTGGACTCAAACACAACAACACTTTCCATAGCAGCCTTCTCTAAACTTGTTTCTCTAGCCTTTCAACCCTCATAATAGGTCTGGGGCTTTTAGAAATCAAAGGCCAACACAGTATGAAGGTACAGACTGGGAAAAGCTAATTTGAACCAGTTCCTATATTCATTATTGTTTGCTTACCTGTGAAATGCAGCGTAGATACCTGGTTGCCACCTCTCTGGCTATCAGTTCTTGACTACTGTAAATATCATCGCAAGGAATCTGGGCTAAAATCTTCCTGATCTCCTTCTCAGGAAGATGTCTATAACTGCTGTTTCCAAGTTCATGAATGGGAACAGAGGTACTGAATGCACAGATAAAACATTCCCCATGCAACAGTGTGACTGAGATCCAAATTACAGGAGCAATTATAGCCCGCTGAACCATGGAACAGAACATGTAACGCAAGACAGCTGGGTCCTTCTGTCGTTTCCCTATGGGCCTTTTCCATTCTTCAGCCAACATGGAAACATTGTTATTCATCACAAAACCAAACAGGAACAAGACTAAGGGAGGCACAAAGAGGATACCCATCCCATAAGCCAGATTGTAACCAGGTAGACATGGGCACTTGAAATCAAAGGCCACATAGATCTGTGCACTCAGGAGAGCCATAATGCCACATATGCCATTCATAAATGATTCCTGGTTGGACTGGAGGAACTGGAATATCATTCGGAATTTATCCATCTTCTTTGTTGCTTTATGAGCACTCTCTTGTAGAAATATCAAAGGGGTCCCTCAATTTTCCAGAAGTTACAAAGAAAATGACAATAAACAGTGTAACATCCAACTTTTTGCTTCTCTGGCAATTTTTTCATTATTCAGAAAATATGTCTCTCCAGTTCTGTATTGCTGTCTACAAAAAGTTACTTTACCTTTCACCTCTGTTCTTCCCGGGACTTGGACTGTAGGGCATTACCAGTTCTGAACCATCTTAGTTAAGTCTTGGCTTAATGACAAGGAAGGTTTCTTCTATGTTTCCCTCCCTCCCTGTCCTTTTAGTAGTCTGGTGCTTCTTTCTGGAGAAAGCAGATGTGATTCTGTTTCAAGCACTTCATTTGTAACAGGAACGGCATCTCTCTGATTTTGGTGAAGATGTTTACAAGAAGGGCTCCTCCTACACACCCCTAAAAAAAAAAACAGGATGCTCCACCTGCAGAAAGAAAGAAGAGAGCCTATGCAAAACGATGGTGGGATGGGATCCATTCTGCATAAAAAGATTCCTAGGCAACAGAAATATTATTCAGTGGTTTTCTCTCTTCTTTCAGTACAGTTTTGAAATTGAAAAATCAACCTCTGCCTGGTAGGGGAACAGGGTAGGGTGGTATTTATGGTTCATGAAAAAAGGAGAAAATGTACACCTTTTTTTCCTAAAAATAGCTGTCAATAAATCAGTTCTAGTACTTACTGAGTGGAGACCAAAACAACAACAAAAACCCCAACTGCCTCAAACAAAGCCAAAGAATATGCGTGTGGCTCTGAAGTGCCTGGCACGCCACTATTGCCTTAAAAGAACTCACCAGGGCCAACATTATCCTTAGGCAGAACTAGGATTCCGTACTGGGCTTGGGGAATCACAGAGCTATGTGACGTTCAGCCTTCCCGACGGCCACTGGGCTACTTTGCTGGTTTCTCTTTGAGCCTTTCTCAACTGCTGAAGTGAAGCCTAATGCGCCAGTCTTTGAACTGTTAGAAAACTGCATCACATGACATTGGCTACTTCTGCTTCCACTATAATCACTCTCTGCTCCTAAATGATGGCGTCCATAGAATCATAGGGCTAGAAAGGACCTCGGCGGTCTTCTGCTACATGGTATATTGAGAAAAGGGATTAGTCAATTTCCTTCCTTTCCCTTCCTTTCCCTCCAAATAGTCACCAATCACTTCCCTTAATGTGGGAGAGGGGGGGGGGGCTTAGGGTAGAGATGATTTCTCACACATGATGGCATCACATAATAGAACTTCAACAGGACTAACAGTTCAAATAAATAGCTCAATACACAATACATTAACAAATATAAGGAACCTAACTTACGTTTAGCTCCATGATTTTCTTCTGAAACTCCAATCCTTCTCCAAGTTAAGGTGCATATCTTACCTGTTAGAAACCAGGCTAAGTAACTAGATACCCTGTCATTATGGAAGACAAAATAAGGTCCCCTTCCCTTTAAAAGTTCATTTAATAGAAAGGGAAACCTTCCAGCTCCTGTTTGCTTACCTGGACTTCAGTTTCCTAGTATCTGGTCTGGAATGCTGCTACTGAAGTATTAATACTACATTTAGAGGAACAATAATTTGTTAAGTCTAACAATAGCAGTGTCCCTATCAGAAACCATCTCAGTATATTTCCACTTTTTAAAAAAATATTCCACAATGTAAGAATGTAAAAATACCCTTTAGGGAAATGAGTATGAAAATACAATTGATCTCCACACAGCTTGTTCATCCTCAGCTTACTTTAGGAAATAGCCAATTTGATTAAAGCTCTTAGTAAATATGGAAATTGAGGTTGATAATTTTTGTATTCAGTATGTGAATGTAATTAAATTAGAACAATCCCAGGATGTATAGTAAGTTATTGAGTGGAATAGATTGGGATAGCTGTAGATAAAAATGCTTTCATTCCTTGCTGACCTACTAAGAAGATATGATGAACCTGGTCCCGAGAAAAAGTGTGTGTTTGATTCAGGCCCTTTAAAGCAAGTTTTAAAAATATGTGTAGCTTGTTTAAGTTCTTTTAATTCTGAATATATGTGTACTAAATGATGGAAGAATATGTACCCTAGTTGGCAACAAGATGAATAATGCAAAATCTGTTCTGACAATAGTCAAAAAATAAATACAGGCATCCCTGTATTTTAGCTAAATTTGCACATTATGCAAAGCTGTAATAGCTGTAGGTTTAGTTGTGGTTTACTGACTAAAGTTAAACGTCATAATAAACCATAACCTGGATAGTTGCCAAGAGCTAAGTTTCTATCCTCTGCCCTTCCTAATGAATGTCAAGAATAATAGAGCTACATATCTAGATTCCAACAATCCTGATGACTAGTAGATGGCTGCAAAATTATATGGAAAACCTTCATGTGCAAGTGACAATTATTCAAGGTGCAATGGATCAAACTGTGGAAGAATGAGAATGATCTTTCATCTCCATTTCAAAGGCCATTAAGCCAGTGCTGTCTAAAGACATTTCCACGGTCATGTGGCCAATTACTTACCCAGTGAAATGGTTACTATTTATCTACTTGCATTTGCATGTTTTAGAACTGCTAGGTGGCAGGAGCTAGTGCAAGGACAAGAGGTCGCCCTGTTGCAAGACGTTTGGGTCACAAATCTGGGTTGCTGGTTTTCTAGCTGACAAGCCCAGTGTCTTAACTGCTTAGCCATCGTGCCACCCTTCACAACCATGGTGGAGACTTTTAAGGAATGTTAACTTTGCATATCTCACTTTCTAATCACTTTGGGAAAACTGCTCATTAACTATTTCTAAGCTATTAATTAAGATTCAGAATTAAAATTTTGAATGGGCTGATTGAGTTTGCCTAATCCTGAATGAAATAAAAATTTAACCATACGTTTAAGAATTTAAAGTATCTGAAATAAACAGCAAAAAGCTAAATAAGGTTTGGATCCTAGAAAGACAAAACAGACTAAGGATACAGATAAATTTGGAAGATTGAAATTTTTACAATAATATTTTGGAATGATTATAACAGTTATTGATAAATAAATAAAGATATTTTATTACTTTTGACTACCCTTTATAGATTTTCTGCTGACACCAGGACCGAGTAAGTGATGTTTTATGGATTTGTTTATAGATTAGAGATGGGACATAGAATGAAGGGATAAATGTTTGTTCCTTTAGAGAAAGTGAAGTTATTAAATTTATTTATACTTGGGATGAACAATTTTCTTCTTTATATATTTCTGTTTCTTTAATATTATTAATTTTCTTTCTTTTCTTTTCTTTTCTTTCTTTTCTTCTTTATATATTTCTGTTTCTTTAATATTATTAATTTTCTTTCTTTTTCCTTGTACTTTTTTACTCTTTTTCTCTTTTCTGTTCTTTTCTGTTTGGTTTGTATTCAATCTCATTATTATTATAAAAATTCTTAACAAAAACAAACTTGGGGATGTTGAGGCTGGAATAAGAATCCTTTTGACTTTTGATCATGTGCAATGATACACTTATTTTTATACCGTTGTCAGAGTTGCCATACACACAAATACACAGAGAAGGTTTATCTCTTCTCAGAAATGCATTCTCTCCTTGTAATCTTGTTTCTGTAGTTTCTAATATCACTGCCTCACCTATCTTATGACTTACTGATATTAGGAATCCAAATACAGCATGTATTTTCTGCTGCAGTGAATGTTAGTGGGACGCATGAATAAAAAAGTTGAATTTGTAAACTTTACAGTGATACCTTGGTAGTCATTGTTAATTGGTTCCGAAAAGTGTAATGAGTACCAAACAAAATTTTCCCATAAGAAATAATGTAGTGAGTCATAAGGCAGCTGACAGTGACAAGTTCTATTTAGCTTGTGGGTTGAGTACCAAACAAACAATGAGTACTGGGACAAAATGTCAGTGTCAAAATGCATTGTACCCAATTTGACGAGTTTCAAAGCAGCTAAGTACCAAGGTATCACTATACTTGGTTCAGACCTTAAAAATGTAAAGCAATAGAACCTCTTTTTCAAACAGTACCTTTTAGTGAAGCAGAATAGTTCAGGACAGATTCAAGTAACACAATATATGCAGTCTTTACAACAGAAAATGCTAGGTGTATATTTATTTATTTGGTGCCAAGCAATATGGAAATAGGCTGGCAATTAGACCTATACCTTCATAATTCCTGCATTGACATTGAATTAATTATGGACAGAATCAGTTCAATCAAGCCAGAAGGATCTGTCTTCCCTGTGAGAAATATTACATCCCATTTCTTTTCCTTTCTGTTCCAAAGTTGGACAGTCTTTATTTTTGAGAACATTAGTCAAACAGCACCATCTAAATAAATGGCACTTTGCTACTATGAGCAGCCTGCTAAGCCAATTGGCTTATTAACTAAAAGAGACTCAGAAACATAATGATCACATAGATAAACAGAGGAAATAAATACACAGATTAGTTCAGCAAAAATACAGCACTTTAATAATAATCAAATAACCAAAAATACAAATTAAAGATAACTAAAAAATAAGCATGTTATTACAAAACAATTTTCTATTAACAGCATAAAGCAACCTTACAATTTAGCAGCCTCTATCAGTTATTATAAGGTCCTAGGTTGCCCACTTCAGCTAAAGTTATACATGATTCTCTTACCTTTCACTCTAGTTTAAACGAGAAATGATTCTTTAAAGTAAAAGATAAACAAAATTCATATGTAGATATTCCTATATAGCAATAGCACTTAGATTTATTTACTGCTTCACAGCCCTCTCTAAGCAGTTTACAGAATCTAAGAATATTGCTCCCAACAATCTGGCTCCTCATTTTACCAACCTCAGAAGAATGGAAGGCTGAGTCAACCTTGAGCCAGTGAGGATCAAACCCCTGACAGTCAGCACAATTAGCCTGCAATACTGCATTCTAATCATTGCACCACCACAGCTTATCTCAAAAGATTTGTTTCTTTTTTATTGCATGCTTTCATTATTCATTAACAATTGTTATTCAATTACAGTTGTTTTTCTAATAACAAAATTTGCTTGCTTTATCTCTTTCTGTTGGATAAGACTGTCAATTGAAACAAACAAACAGATTCTGTCCTGTGCCTTTACAAGCAATTCTATCACATCACTATAATCTGGTTCATCAACCAGAATTAAAAGATGCTTACTTCAAGAGTCTTTTAATTCTGGTATCATTCACCATGGTTGGTTGGGTGTCCATTATTCGATTATTGTTTAGTATACTATGATTTTAAAAGTCGTGCCTCTCAATTATGTGTAAGCCAGTCTTGTCTGAGGAACAATAAACTCTGAACCATTTTGTGTTCTATCTAATGATCTATGGACAATGTAGAAACAAAAGTGGTAAATTTGATAAAATAAATTCAATTCTTTAAATAATTCCAGTTGCATTTTGGAAAAGTTCGGCTGCTTAATCTTGCAGATCAAGGCAGTAGACCCCCTATTGCTATGGGGAGCCAAGTGACAATTTTCTAAATGTGAGAAGTCCCTGTTTCAACTTTCTTTTAAACATCTGTTTGGCTGGGGATGGAACCTGTTAATTGCACTGCCTGTCCAAAGAAAAGGTATTGTCTCTTTGCCTGTAGGCTTGGCTCACATCCAGTGGAGGTTTCCTATTGTACCAGGACAGAAGAAATTTGCTTATTTGCTCCTGGCTAGTGATGCCCCTCAAATGATTGTTTTCCTTTGCTTTTGCTCCCTTTTCTTCTGTGTAGGCATTAAACCGCCTGAGTTTGATTTCTGTCTGCATGCTATCAAAGAAATGAAGGATACACTTGTGTGCAAAGTCCCGTGTTTGTTCGCAACAGGTCTCTTCAAATATTTTTTGTTCAAGGTCAATGTAATTGCTCCAGTAGCGGGTTTGCAAAAAGGCGGCACGATTGAAGCAGGGCTGGAGAGAACGAGCAAGGAAGGCCATCACGATCAGGATTAAAAGAAGACTCCAACCAAAAACCTGGAAGAAAATGACAAACTGATTACAGCAAGAAGGTGAAACCCAACCCTAGGTCTACATCCTCATGCAACTTCAAGTTTCACACCAGTTCCTAGGGTCAATGAATCCATACCATAATAACCTAACTTTGTTTGCATCAATCTTGAGGAGAAAGTGCTTTTTGGTCAGGAAGAAATCCTGGCAAAAAAAGGAAAAAGGGAGGTGCAGAGTAGAAGCGAGATGCTATAATATAAATATAGAACATCCTTCTGAACTTGATGAAATTGCAATGAGTTACAACTATTAGAATATCCAGGTTTCCAGTAGGAAATCTAGGAGTTGTAATTCCAGCATATTTGGAAAATCTGGTGCAGTGAATGGAGACAATTGAGTTTGACTCTTTTGAAAACTTAATTTTAGGCATATTTTTATTTATAAACTGGAGTAAGTAACTTATTCCAAGGTATTTTATACAGCTTTCTTTTTAATCCCCATTCAGCAGGAAGGAATGACAGGATTTGTGGCCCAATGTATTTATTGGGTGCTGGATTGGAAGAGCATTTCTCACAGGACCCAATGCCAATAGATGGCCATTACTTACTTGTGAACAGCATTTGAGATACCTGGACACTGCCTTGCGGGAAGTGTTATTCCTCATCAACTCATCATGTTTGCATGGGATTTTGGCAAGAAAGTGTTGCAAGGCATCATAGGAGGTGATGTTGGCAGCAAAATCTGGAAATTTCTCAGGATCAATGGAACTGCTGAAGGCACAGACAAAACATTTCCCATCAAGGAGGGCGACTAGGATCCAAACAGTGGGTGCTATCATAGCCCGTTGCATAACAGAAGAACACATGTACCTGTGCATTGGACAGACAGGAACAGATTTGTCTGTGATATCATAAACTGAAGAGAACATAGGGGCCTTCACAAGAAAAGTGATAGAGGGTTATCATTAAGAAAGGAATGAAATGCAAGTTAACAGTGAATATGTTGATTATGCCATTAGTTTTGTCTGCATAGAGCTACTTTGTTATATATATTTTGGTGCAATGCTGCTATAAAAAATTATCAAATTATCCCTTTAGAAATTGGAAATATGTAACGGAAATAAACAAGAAGGCATACAGAGTCCAAACAGAAGAAAAAACAAATAGAAATGATAAATTATAGAATATTCTATTTATTTGGCATAGCATATTTTAGAGAAGAAAGAATTTCCAGAAGAATTATAAAATAATGGTTTACCCAAATATTATTTTACAGATTAGTACAGTATATAAATATGTTGCTGTTTAAATGAATGTCAAAGAAGGAGTTTATCTATACAAAAAAATAAGGCAAAGTAAAATTCTTAAATCCTTCCTTTTTCAGCCCTGATCTAAAACATCCCTGCCAAATATGTTTAATTTTAAAAAACATAAGAAATTTTATTTCTTAAAGTACCAGAAAAACCATGGAACCAGAAAATTAAAGTACCAGAAAAACCATGGGAGAAAAAGAAGAAGGTGCTGTAAATTAAATTATCTAAGTACTTTGCATTTTTAAAACAAACACATTATTTAAATAATTGGATTCTTGTAATAAAAATCATTGGAATCTCCCACCTGATAATGGATGGATTCTTCCTTCTATCTCCAGTTGGTCTCCTCCACTCCGCAAGCATCATAACAAATTGCCTGTTGATAATGATCCCACAGAGAAAAAGTGCTACTGGTGGGATAAACATTATTCCCAAGCCATATGCCATGTTGTATTTAACAAGGCAAGGGCAATTGAAATCAAAGATGGTGTAAATCTTCACACTTGCCAATGCTAATAGCCCACAGATCCCATTTGTCACTGATTCTGAATTAGACTGGAAGTACTGGAAGACCATCTGGAATCGATCCATGCTGTTAAAAAAAACCTTGAGGTTTTTTTTTTGCCTGAAGGACTGAAATAATGTCAAAGGATTTCAACACCGGCAAGTTCTGTTTTCCTAACAGTCCTCTTCAGCACTGTTTAGGAAAGTTCTGCAAGCTCTTAAGTCAGTAGGACAATGGAAAGGAAAAAACAGTAGAGTAGTCAGATTTTCACAGATGTCCTTTTTGGTGGTCCTGAGATCTCATTCTCATTAATATGACATTTTGTTGTGACCTTCTTGCCTTTGTGTTTAGAAGCCTTCTTAATCACTACTCATCAGTGAAGTTGTTTATCTGTGTGTTGTTGGTTCATTAAAAAGACTTCTCTCCACTATCTCCATTTAAAGAAAAGGGAGAAAAATTACAGAATTCTTCTGTATGCCAACAAGCTGCACCTGCAGTATAATGCAGGATTTCCTATCAATTGCAGGATTTATAGCTGGTGCACTTTAAAGAGTGTTTAAATTATCAGAGCTCTTCCTTATTTCCTTTTTCGCAAAGGTCCCTGTGCTCAATGAGGAAGCAGGATAATCAAATGAGAGAGTTTGTTTACAAGTCTCCTCCCTGTTTTTCTCAGAGAAGGTGCTGGAGGGTTTCTGCAGCATCAACACTATGGCTGCATCCCTGGCAAAAGCTGTCCTCTCCACTTGCCTCCTGCTCTTGCCCCTTCACTTTTTAAAACCGAGTAGACAATTTTTTTTTGTTTCATCGCAGAAACAAACCCATAAGCCATGGATTTGGGCATTGGGGCACATTGGACAGTGTAAGGAACTTTAAAACAGAATACAGGGAAAACTAAATATAAAATTAAATACAGGAATGGGAATTCTGTGCCCCTTCAATGTTGCTGGATTGTTTTTCTTAACATCTACCGTAACCAGTCCATACTAGTTGAGACTGGAGAGAATTACACATCCTAATATTCAAAGGATTATAGGATTCCCACTCCTGATGTAGCTCTAGGAACAGTCTTATATTAGCGTTACCTCCATTCTCTTTCTAAGATTTAAGTTCACTAGATGGAGCACCACAGATTGAACAAGCCTTGCCCAGTAAACTTCTGAAAAAGATATTTTCAAAGCTGAATATGCATCTGTTTTCCTGCCTTTTAATAGCTATCTGCACTAATTCCAACCACAAGGAGGCAGTGTCCAACTGTATTATTAGCCTTTTCAGCCAGGGATAACAATTTATTGTTATTGTCCATGCGTATTTATTTAATGTGAATGATTCTGTTTTTTAAATTTACTGGCTATTTTAGAATCGATCCTATAAATTGTTATAACTGTCATTTCATGAGTTTTAACTTTTCACTTACACTTTTCAAAATTAAATTTATGGTAGAGAGAAATCACCGCTTTCCACCCCTCTATAGATGCTAATTTGTGTTTCTCAAAATGATGCCCCAAACCCTGGTCTTGTGTCTTTTAGAACTGTTTTATTTTTATGGATCAAGAGCTCAAGCAATGATCCTTGGTGGGAGACTGACTCTTTTTATTAGTATGTGTTAGTCTCCCCATTTTTATCTGAGAAATATTTTTATTTTAAGTTCTCTTTGTTTTAACCTAAGGCAGCTTCCTCAGTCTGTCCCTTTTATTTATTTTTTATTTATTTATTTGATTTGCCAATTGTTTACAAGATAATAAGTATAAGTGTATACATAGTTGTGAATACATGAAATGGGTACATATAAGAAGAATAAAAGAATAAGAGAAACAATAGGACAGGGACGGTAGGCACGTTGGTGCGCTTATGCACGCCCCCTACAGACCTCTTAGGAAAGGGGTGAGGTCAATAGTAGACAGTCTAAGGTTAAAGTTTTTGGGGTTTGGGGAAGAAACTACAGAGTCGGGTAGAGTATTCCAGACATTGACCACTCTATTGCTGAAGTCGTATTTCCTGCAATCAAGTTTGGTGCGGTTTACTTTGAGTTTGTATCTATTGTGTGCTCTTGTGTTGTTATGGTTGAAGCTGAAGTATTCATTGACAGGTAGGACATTGCAATGTATGATTTTATATACCATGCTTAAGTCAGACCGAAGACGGCGTAATTCAAGGTTTTCTAGTTCTAGAATTTCAAGTCTGGTGGCATAAGGTATTCTACAATGAGTAGAGGAGTGGAGAACTCTTCTTGTGAAATATTTCTGGACTTTCTCAATTGTGCTAATATCAGATACGTAGTGTGGGTTCCAGACTGATGAACTGTATTCGAGTATTGGTCTAGCAAATGTTTTGTATGCTCTGGTTAGTAGTGTGATATTACCAGAGAAAAAGCTACGTAGGATTAGGTTAACAACTCTTAATGCCTTTTTGGCTATGTAGTTGCAGTGGGCTCTAGCACTTAGATCATTAGAGGTGAGTATTCCAAGGTCCTTTACAGAGCTTGGGTCATCAACAAGTTCTTGACTATTCAGCTTGTATTTTATTTTCTGATTTTTTTTGCCAATATGTAAGACAGAGCATTTATTTGTTGAGATTTGAAGTTGCCATTTGTTTGACCATTCTGATACATAGTCAAGATCTTTTTGTAGGGTAGCAGTATTGTCTGTGGTATTGAACAGCTTTACATCATCAGCAAAGAGAACGCAATTGCTCTTAATATGATCACAGAGGTCGTTTATGTAGAGTATGAAGAGAGTTGGTCCTAGAACACTGCCTTGGGGGACACCACTATTGACAGGTACTGGATTTGATAGGACGCTCCCGATTTTGACCATTTGTTGTCTGTTTGACAGGAATGCTTCTATCCAGTTATTCAGTTGTCCAGAGATACCATAGGATTTTATTTTTAGGAGTAGTTTGTCGTGTACCACTGAATCAAAGGCTTTACAGAAGTCTATGTAGATTGCGTCTATTGCTTTGCCCTGGTCGAGTTGTGTCGTCCATATGTTTTTGCAGTGTAAGAGTTGTAGATTACAGGATAGTTTTTTTCTGAAACCAAATTGTTTATTGGAGAGTAGGTTATTTGTCTCTAAGTGGAGGATGATGGATTGGTTAATAATTGATTCCATGACTTTACAGGTGACGCAGCATAAGGAGATTGGCCTGTAATTTTCAACTAGGCTTGGGTCTCCCTTTTTGAAGATGGGGATGACTGTGGCTTGTGACCATAGGTTAGGCAAGGAGCTGGTCCTGAAAGATTTTTCAAAGATTATGCTTAGAGGTTTGGCTATGGCAGTGGATAGCTTTCTTAAGAAGTAGGCACATATTCCATCCGGTCCAATAGATAGAGATGGTTTTAGATTGCGTAGTGATTTTTCAACATTGTCTTCTGTGAAATCGATATGTATTAGATCATTATTGTTATCTGTGGTACGGCTAGAAAATACTGGGCATGATCCATTGCTGTTTACAAATACTGAGCCGAAGAATGTGTTAAAGATGTTGGCTTTAATGGTGTCGTCGTTGCAGTCTTTACCATCAGGTCCTATCAAGGGAGGGATGGACCTTGAGTCTTTTAGTTTGTTGTTTAAAAAATTGTAAAAAGCACGGGTGGAATTGGTGCTTAGAAGGTTTTCCTCTTGTTTAATGTGATAATTGGTGCATTCGGTCTTTATCTGGTGGCATAAATTTTTGTATCGGTTTTTGAAATTGGTAACGTGACCAGATTTGTTTTTCCTCCAGAGTGATCTCTTTTTGGATTGAAGTTTCCTTATTGATATGGGTAATCTGCTTTTTTGTTTTGTTTTGGGAGTTGTTGTTGGTACATATAGTTTGATGACTCTTTTGACTTCAAGTAAAAATATGTTGTAATGGTCTTCAACAGTATTGCATCCAGTGAATAGAGATTGCCAATCAAGGGATGAGAGATCGTTGTCTATAAGATCATAGTTGCCTTTTTTGAAGTTACAATTGGGGATTACATCATTGTGGTGATTTTTGTGTGGACGTATGTTGAGACAAAAGTCAATCATATTGTGGTCACTACTGGAAAAGGGTTCTTTAGTTTGTATTCCGTAAATTAAATTCAAACTATTGCAGAAGATGAGATCGAGGCAGTTGTTTAGTCTAGTGTTGTTGGTTACTAGTTGTTCCAGTCCCAGATTTGTAATAGCGTTGTAGAAGGTTGTGTGTATGATTTCAGTTGTACAATCATTTAGGGTCCAGTCAATATGAGGTAGATTGAAATCACCAAGAAAGATAAAAGGGTATGGGCAGGATGCAGCCCATGTTAGTAATGTATTTAGCTTGTTTACATGTTCGATGTCATAATCAGGTGCTCTGTAACATAGTAAGAATCGAATTGTGATATTTAAGGATAGTTCACAGATGATGGTCTCAGGAAGAGCAAGCTCCTGGGTAACTTGGATATTTTTTAGATGTAAGGATTTTTTATAGAATATAGCAACACCACCTCCTCGACGATTTTCATGATCTGATCGGTAAACATGATAGTCTCTTACTGTGGTAATGGAGTCGGGGAGAGATGCATTGAGCCATGTTTCACAGACAAATATAATGTCAAAGTTAGCCATATTTAGGAGGATGAGAAATTCAGGTATTTTATTCACGAGGCTTCTTGCATTGAGTAGTTTGCATTTAAGGCCAGCAGTAGTTGGAATTGAGGTAGTTGGGGGTGTGCGTGCCTAGTCTTGGGTGATGGTGGATCGGTTGAGGTAGTGTTGTGGTTGAGGGTAGAAGCTGAGTATTGGGTTGCGTGGCTTACTTTTGATACAGTCAGCATGGTAGTCAATGTACAGGTCCTTCTCTCCATTGTCTAGACGGTTTTTGAGTTCAATGCGGAGTGCACGGGAGCGGGCACGTTGCTGTATGGTTAGATCAGGGCGGCAACGGAGGTTCTTATGGTTGGTGTTGGTTTTGGTGAGTGAGTTTATAGTATAAATGAATTTACATTTGCTTGATTCATTTTTGCAAATGACCCTGCACAAGCGTGGGGCCACAGAGCCGTCTCTATTTTTGAGCTCTCGGTCGAATTGACATTGATGTCCTCTAGACCAAATAAGATGGCGTTTGGACGTTTCCGTTCACG